GGTTGAGTAACATATTTCTGCTCTTCCAAAAAAAAAGATTGATGTCATTTTCAACTATATTGTTTTTTTAAAAAAATAGAAAAATGCCTACATTTAGTTTGTTGCCAAATCCTGGTAAATATATAAGAAATCTTACCAAAATTTTAATAATATTGACAACTTGCCAAAATTTTGATATGGTCTATATTGACTACAATCTGAACAACCTCTAGAACAGAGTTTTGCATCTAAGTATGGAATTAGTTTTCATAGGGTTTATATGTAAAATGAGATTTTTGTTAAGGGCTAGAGTATACAAAATGTCCAAATCCAATCATCCAGGCCAACTGCGATTTTTCAGAGAGGCACTAGTAAAGTTTAAAAGTACATGGGTGGCAGCGATCAGTGTGATGCGATGAACAGCGCGGGCACATGATTCCCTGCGAAATCCATCGACGTCGCGCCGGTCAAATTTGAACGTTGGTCCCTCCGACTCAAATTATAGTTAGGCCATGTTTAGTTCACACCAAACTTTTCCCACTCTTAACTTTCTATCACATCCAAAACTTTTCTACACGTATAAACTCCTAACCTTTTTTTTAAACTACCAACTTTCACCAAACTTCTCCCTAATTTTAGGAACTAAACACAGCCTTAATTTTATGGTTCAAATTTTGTTCTAAAATATAGCCTTCTCCCCTTACTCATGTATACTGTATTTCAACCGATTCCAATATTTCTCATTTAATTTTTCATCTATTTTTTATTTCAACCAATTATATTCATTCTTATTTAATTTCACTCACTTTAAAAACTAGGAAGGTAGCCCGCGCATATGCGCGGGCACTTATTTAATGTTGCTTGAATTTTTTTACGAATGTTTACGTGTAGATGATATTTTTAAAATAGATATTGACTATATTTTAAATATATTTTCGTTAATATCTGGTTTGGATATATTACTTGGAACCGAACAACCTTGAATTTAATTAAAAAAAAATGTGTCACGATAATAGAACAATAATAGAATACTGGAGTTGTTTCATATCTACTTGTACTATACATGATTTTTTTTAACCAAGATAAGGGTTTTTTAGAAAAACTACCACAATAATCTCTAAAGCATCGTATTGTTGGTTATATTTTGAGAAATATCTATAATTTTTTGTTTGATTTTTTGCAACACCTATTATTCATAATCACATGAGACACCTTTACTAATTAATTTAGAGAATAAATCTATTTTCCCAAACTTATTTACAATAACTAATTTATTGAAGTATACTTTATAGTTACGTCAATAGTGTGTATAATATACATCCATCAAATTGATACTTGATGTGTTGGAATTCCTCAACTATAAAAAAATTATATCATGAGTAGTTTATTGTGCATGTTACTTGATTGTTCATTTGTTGCCAAAACTATTTAGAAAAGAGAAAAACATAGATATATGACCATAAATCTCATGGTGGATTAAATGGTTGTATTATAGCAAGATCATTGGTATGAAATATTTTTTTCATAATTTCTTTACATCTATGCAACATTTATGTTGCCCACTTATTAGATACTAATGAAATAGTTCTAAAGATTCCAAAAAAAAATTGAGAATCTTAGTCTCAAACAAATTAAAATTAAATGAAATATACTTAAAAATACACAACTAAATTGTGTTGTTTTCATTTATTTTACATATATGGATTTAAATTACCATTGTATAGTCGTCAAGTGATATTTGACACATGAAATATGATGTGAAATTATTTAAAATAGGAAAAAGCAATAATTACCCCCTAAACCTGAAAACCAGACATCTTTCACCCTCAACTATTAATATCGGATGAATTACCCTAACCAACCCGGAGTGGGTTTGTTCCTACGTGACAGTCCAGTTAGCACTTTTTTTTAAAAAAAAAAATAGGTGGGGCTTACCTGTCACACTCTCTACCCTCTATATATCTCTCTCTCCTCTCTCTCTCTTCCACAATCCCATTACCTAGCCTCTCTCTCTTCTCCTTCTCCTTGCTACAGGGGCCAACCGGGTAGGCGAGCCGCCGCCCCGCCACACTTTTCCTTCCTCCTTCATCTATTCCCCTGCACTTGCTCTCTTAATTGATCCACCTTGTTGTTCTTTTATTGATTGGTGCTTTCTGTCTCGTCAGGAGAAAGGCATTGGTGGTGGGGATCGATTAAGAACCATGGTGGGATGGCATGCTGTGGTAGACAGAGCTACGGGGGCGTAGCCGAACTTGGCCATGGAGGACCAGCGCAGGTGCTCGCCTCCGGCGGCCATCACGTGATGATGAGATGTGACAGAAATGATGGTGAAGACAGCCTCCATCAGAGTGCGCATGTGGTGGCCGAGATAGCCGAGGAGGAGCCGCCTCTGCTACTCACTGCCCTCGTTCGCCTCCACCGCGGTTGTCCTCTTCACGCGCCAGTGGATGTTGAGGAGAAGCCACACGGCCATCAAGGAGGCGCGCGCCAGCAGAGACCGAGAGGACCCGCTCACTGCCCTTAGCCTTGCCTATTGATAGACATGGAGGGAGAAGAAAGAGAAAGGGGGAGGGGTGAGGCAGAGATATGATAGGTGGGTCCCATCAATTTATTTTTAAGAAAATGCTGACGGGACTGCCACGTAGGATCAAAACCACTTCAGGCTGTGTCAGCGGGGTAATTCGTTCGGTATTAATAGTTGAGGGTGAAAGATGTCTAGCTTTCAGATTTATGGGGGTAATTCGGTCTACCATAATAGTTTAGGAGGGTAATTCGTCATTTTTCCTTGAAAATATTATCATAACATTATTTATTATATGTCAGCCTCATGTGTTATGATGTATTTAGGAACATAGACATCAATAGTTTATTTAATTAAAGGAATCTGACTGGATCACAAATTAGATATATAATTTTAAAATAATTTAAAGATAGGATATTTTTTTATATTGTAGAAGATCTAGTTTAACTTAATTTTATAGAGTATTATACTTTTGTTTTTAAATAGTAGAAAATCATATATTATGGACCATCGATTTTTTTATGGCACTACATACTACCTATGTTACGTAAGTTTTTTTACTTTATTGATTTTATCGTCAGTTCGTACATAGGTTTTCTTTAAGATTCATTGATTCTTTTCCAGCACGTAAGTACGTACACGAAGTATACTTATGTTTGGTTTCTTTTTTGGGCCCACATTATGAGAGGAAATTATTACCTTCTTAAAATAATACATCTAATCTAACGATCTAAAATATCGGGTCCACCAATTTAAGTGAAAATTAACGGTGAGATTATATAGTGCCACGTGGCGGTCTAGTAGTATTTGTAGGAACGTCACGTGGCGGCTTAAGAGCGTTTCTTGGAAGTTTAATGGACTTTTACTATATAATAGATGATTATACTCCTATATTTTATTCGTTTCAAAATAAGTGTAGTTTATAGGGTTGCACTTATTTTAAGACGAATAGAGTACTCCATCTATCTTATTTTAAGTGCAACTATGAGTTTTCGTGTCCAAATTTGATCGTCTGTCTTATTTGAAATTTTTTTATAATTAGTATTTTTGTTGTTACGAGATGATAAAATATGAATAGCACTTTGCTCATGACTTATGTTTTAAAATTTTTTTAAAAAAATTTAAATAAAATTATGGCAGCACTTAAAATGAGATAGATTGAGTGGAGTATTTTGGAAGAGGAGAGTCCTGCATACAGCCATACACAGTGTTGCTCTGCATTTATACCAGCACTCCAGCAGTGCACAGTTGCCGGTCAAGAGCTGCAAGAGCAGCAGCTTGACAGTAGTGTGACAGCGTCTCAGCCTTCGTCACGCAGCAGCAGCAGCAGCAGCAGCAGCAGAAGAAGAGCATGGAAATGGGCTTGGTTGCAAGGACTTGTTTGATCGTCTCTCTCTCTCTCTCTCTCTCTCCCTCTCCTAGTCCCTACGCAGGCGTTGGATTCGATCCCTTCTGCCATTTTCGCGCATGCGGCACATCTCCTTCTGCGTCATGATAGAAAGGGCCTTCTTTTCACGTCACTGAAAAAAGGCGTGCATCCAAATGAAGGATGGCACTGCCATGCATGCATGCCCGGTAGAAACCAATGCAGGGCCCTCACTCAACTGTCACCTTCCTTTCCAACATGAAGTTTTCACATGGATCAGTTTAATTTCTGAGATAATTAATTCTTCACTTCAAAAGGATGTGTGAGATTGTGAGAGAAAAGAATGGCCCTAATTAATTAAACAGATATGAAGGGAATGAAGAGTTTTTTTGGCAAGTGGAAGTTGGCACTCATCGTACAGTTTGGTGGTAAGCAGAAGTGGACAATGTGGCAACTCAAGACAGCTGGAGGTGACGAAGTCGAACCCCCCCCCCCCCCCCCCCCCCCCGGTGATGAAATGAAACTTTCAAAGGGGTGTGATTGAAATCCATGGAGCTAAAGCATGTACAGATACTCCTAATCTCCTAGTATGTGATGTCTGGTCTCACCGGTGATCTCCATTGCATGATGATGAGTCATCTGATAGGTTGGTTTTGCATTTTGGAAACTTGGAACCCCAGCAGTAGCACTACTAGTAGTACCAACCAACCAAACTACTAATATGACTAGACAACAATAATGGTGTCACTTCCTGTTTAGCATCCTGGAATAATCCACTTGATAGATATGCAAATCAAAATGGGAGCGTCCACATTCAGAACAGCAACATCATATCAATGCAGAGACAGAGAGCAGCACTTAATTACGGCGAACCACTTGATAAAACTGATTGATACTACCTCCGTCCCAAAATAAGTACAGTTTTGCACTATTCACGTTCAACGTTTGACCGTCCGTCTTATTTGAAAAATTTGTGAAAAAATTAAAAACATTTAGTCACACATAAAGTACTATTCATGTTTTATCATCTAATAGCAATAAAAATACTAATCATAAAAAATTTTCAAATAAGACGGACGGTCAAACGTTGAACGTGAATAGTATAAAACTGCACTTATTTTGGGACGGAGGGAGTATATTCCAGATAGGAGAGGCGGGCATCGATGCTTATCGTCGCTAAATTAAATGGGAGTACAGGCTAAACACATGAGACATCCCTCGATTTAAAAACAGATTACAAACACATGGATGTTCACTTCACACACACGACAAGCAGGAGGAGGAGCAGCTGCTGAAACAAAACGACCAGCGGCGAACTTAATTTTTTTGAAAAAGGGAGAATCATAACACGGTAGAACTCATCATCATGGCCAATTGCTTCATCAACGCCTTCCAGCCATTATCCCCCAACAATGGCTGCTCGAACTCCTTTGATATCACGCGTTGCTCCTGAAGGAGCCGAGGGCTTTGATGGCGCCGGCCCGGAGGATGTACTGGTGGTAGAACGCCGCGATGGCGGCGCCGACGAACGGGCCGACCCAGAAGATCCACTGCAACCGGAGACGGGGAAGACGATCAGTCACAATTCACACAACCCAAAAAAAAAAGAAAATCATGATCAGGCCATGCCCAATTGAGGTAATTTGTAGTAGTAGAATGTATGTGTCTTCTTACATGGTTGTGCCACGCCTTCTCGTTGTTGAAGATGACGGCCGCTCCGATGCTCCTGGCCGGGTTGATGCCGGTGCCGGTGATCGGGATCGTCGCCAGGTGGACCATGAACACGGCGAAGCCGATTGGCAGCGGCGCCAAGACCTGGTGACATCCACACACACATGAACAAAAAACAAAAAATCAGAAATTAGCATAGGTTTGCAAGATGTTAGGCGAGTAACCAAACTATCAGTAGTACTGTTCAGCAACAAGTGTCGTTTTAACACAGTGAGTCAAGTGAGGCACAATAATTCACAAAACTGTGCTGCTGCCAAACCAAACCACACCCTGCATGACATGTGTAGGGTGTCTTTTCAGCCACATGACCCATGTATACGTTTTAATGGTCATCAACATCAGTGGACTATTAGGGAGCAAGTTAGTGGCCAAAAAGCCCACAAGCCTTCTTGTCACGAAATGCCCCTTTCAACAAGGAACTGGAAACGAACTAGCTAGAGCACCACCAAATGGCTGCTTTTAGCCTTGGCTTAGTGCGCATTTCACCTCCTCCCTAAACACCAGGTCACCCAGGGCATATTTTGACAAGATGTGTGCAAATCTGCAAAAGCAGAGAAGCACAGCACCCCCAACGCTTCTTCACGCCTTGTCACCTCCACCAAAGGGAAGAAAGAAAGAAAGGAAGACCCTCATGTCAAGATGCCCACCTTCACTCACACAACCTCACATGTTCACCACCATATAAAGTGACCTATCCATTTCCCCTTCTCCAGAAAAAAGAAAAAACTACTACTAGTACTCCTCTACAATTTCACCTAATAATATTTGGTCTTGTTTTTTAGTGAGGAGCTAGCACAAAACAACATGGCGTGAAAGGACACGAAATAGTTTTGGGAAAAAACAGAGGGGGGTGGTGAAGAATTTGTACCGGCGGTCCAGCCAAAATTCATCATGGAGATCACATGAAAACCTAGCCGCTGCCTGCACGGACCAGCTCACCCCCGGTCTGGACCATACAGTACACCGGACCAGCTCAGCCTTTTTGGCTTTGCTAGGGCCACATGTAGTACGCGCGCGCCCGCACAGCCATGCTACCGTGATGGGATGGAACAGTAATAGCGGCAGACGTGACAAATGAGCTACAGTAAATAAGTTATAGGGTCCCATCGGTTGCCCTATTAAGCCGAAGCAAAAGCCAAAAATTTAAATTTTTAAATTTAATTTTAAAGTTGATTTTAAGATATTTTGAACTTAGTTTTTTTTACAGTATTAGCTTTTAAGTCAGCTAGAAATACATATATAAAAATTTTAACTACAAATTATTTTTTATTCCTTAGTAAAACATTTTATCTTATTAGGGAATATAAGTTTTAGTTATAAATTATTTTTTATTCGCTAGAAAAACATTTTAGCTTATTAGAAAATATATGAGCAACCGATGAGGCTTATAGATTATTTGTAATCCTCTCCGTCCTTCCGTGTGTACTAGGACCATCTTGAATCTTCTACTACCAAAAAAAAAAAACTACTACTACTTTCAATTATGTGGTGACTATCTATCTACTGCTAGTCTGCTACTGTACTGGAGTGATACGGAGTAAGAACGGTAAGAGCAAATTCAACACTACGGTATGCTTAATAATGTTCATGTAGTACTATCTGAAGGAGATCTGAAAATTGACAATCTGTAGGCATGCGAATAGCAATAAAACTGTGTAATTTTAGAATTTTTTTCTTCCGAAAAGAATTAAGAGTTTTTGAAGGAAATTATTGCTTCTCTTCTGTTCAATATGCGCTTGCTTTTATCAAAGAGGATATATAGGATATTCTTCCACTGCTTTTCATTCCTTTTTGTACACATCTGTCATTCTTCCGATCTAAACAAACTAATATTCTCATACTAACACATGCATGTTAGTTGTTAGATTAAAGCATCTACCGTCACTTAAGCTCCAATTAAGCAAGCACAATTTTCAAAGAGAAGAAAAGAAAAAGAAAAATTTGGGAGAGCTAGCTCCGATGCTTCTTACCGGGACATGTGAGTCGCGGGCGTTGCGCTTGGGGTCGGTGGCGGAGAAGACGGTGTAGACGAGCACGAAGGTGCCGATGATCTCGGCGGCGAGGCCGGTGCCCTTGGAGTAGCCGGCGGCGAGGGTGTTGGCGCCGCCGCCGTACCTGTTGAAGTAGGCGCTCTGGAACGCCTTGACGAGGCCGACGCCGCAGATGGCGCCGAGGCACTGCGCCACGATGTAGAGGATGGCGCGGACCAGGGACACCTTGCGCGCCAGGAAGAGCCCGAACGTCACCGCCGGGTTGATGTGCCCGCCGGAGATGCCGGCGGTGCAGTAGACCAGGATGAAGATCATGCCGCCGAACGCCCACGCGATGCCGAGCACGCCCACGCCGCCGCACGCCGCGTCGGCGCCGGAGGCCGACGCGTCCGTCTGGTGCTTGTACCCGATCACCGTGGCCACGGTGATGTACAGGAACAGCAGCGTGGCGATGAACTCGGCGATGACGGCGCGGTACAGCGACCACGACCCCAGCTCCGCCGCGTCGATCAGCGGCGCCGGCGGCGGGTCCGTGTAGTCCTTGGCCGCGAACTCGCCGGCGGCGCCGCCGCTCTCCATCACCTCGTCCTTCCCCATGCCCGACCTAGCTTAGCTTGCTCTCGCCGCCGCGGGAAGCTTAACGGGAGGAGTGACACGACCAGCTTTGCAAGCAATGGTGGAGAGCTTAGCTGAGCGGAGAGCTTGTGTGCGAGAGTGAGAAGGAGGTGGTATTTATGGAGAAGAAAGAGAGTTGGTGAGTGACAACGAGGCAAGCTGAGACTCTGGCGTGTGGGACTACCCTCCTCAACGTATGAGACTCTATTTCTGTACTTTTTTATTTTGTCTTAAAAAAATATACTTTTTATTTCCTTTTTTATTTTCTTTTGCTGTCCATGGAGCAGAAAATTTGGCTGTTTTTCTTTTATTTAACTTGTTTTGATAAGAATGGATGGGCCTTTTGGTTTTCTTGCTCCAATGATGCCTATGACGAGCTGGGATGATAAGCTACTGCGTGTTGGGGCCTGGGGCTTACGTGCTTCAAACTCAGAAGAATGTATCCAAGCCAAGAATTCCCGGTTTTGTTCTAAAAACAAAAAGAATAATTCCCGGTTTTGTTTTTGTTGCTGTGAGTGGAAGATTCCGGAGGAGAGAAGTGAGGCAGTGTCCAAAAGACACCTTTCAATCCTAACCATTCATTTCTCATTTTCTATTTAATCTTAACCCTTCATTCATTTCCTAATCCCAATCACACCCCTTATTTTCCATTATCCAAACACACACTGAAAAACTAAGGGGAGACAGAGAGGAGATTTGTTGCGTGTTGCCGTGATAAGGGATAGGATCAATGTACCCGTGACCATTGTGACAAAATGATCATGTGCTTAGTGTTTTTTTAAGACAATGATGTGTATATTGCTTGCTATAGGTTTATTTAATACGCATTTGGCAACTAATTAAGCTGAGTTCTTTCCTTCATTGAACCCACCTCTACGTATAATAGTTATGCATAGCGCATTGTTATATTACTTATTGAAATGCATGGTTGAGAAAACAGAAGATTAGGAAAACATAGAATTTTAATAGGAATATATAAGTGCAAACAAAATATTGCAAGACATAAAAATGATTGTTTGAATAGAAGCAACAAAAAATACGCAGTAAACAGACTTGAAAGGAAAATTTCTTAGATATTAGAACTCTTGTTAACTTCCCTTCCAAATCTACATGTATTGAGCTATTTCTAAGGAATTTTATATGATTTAGAAAGCTTCAATCCTCTATTTCACAAAACGAAAAAAAACTCCTATCAGATTTTAATACTACAAATTCCTCCACAAATAATCTAATAAATGAAAAATGTTTTTACACATCTGTTTTTGGCAGCCAAAAGATCATGTTAAAATAAATTACTTCCTCTATTTTTAAATATAAGGTGTATTTTTTTCATCAGGACAAGCTTTAACTACCTATTACTTTATTGTAATATATTACTTTTGTCCCAGTTTAGTACTATCCAGGGTTTCACTTATCGCATGATAATCGCGCTTATCGCGGGGGTACGGTAGGGGAAACCGGCGATATGGTTTGGATGAATTTTGACCAAATTCAAAATTCTGGAAAAAAATCGAAAAAAACTGAAAATATTCATGGATGTAGTTGTTGATTTGTAATTGCCAATGGTGAAGAATTTTTTTGAAATAGAGTAAGCTAAATTCAAATTTGAGTGCAAAACCAAAAATGGTTTACAAATTGAAAAAGGAAGAGGATATTGGGCCTTAAGTATCCTACATATTCTTCCAATTATTCTCAGTTTCTAGTTTTCTACACATATTCAACCGTATTTTTTATTTTTTACCCTATTTATTTTACATTTACATTATTTCAGCTATACAGCCCGCGATAACCGTGCGAATATCGCGGTTATCGCGGTAAATCGTGCGATTATCGCGGTGAAACCGCGAAACTGTCGAGTTTTGAATTCAAATTTTTGGATGTGATTTTTGTGCGATTTTAGACGATTATCGCGCTATTATCACGGTTATCACGCTACCGCGGGGTGGCGATAACCCCGGCCCTAACGATAAGGTAAACCCTGGTACTATCTCCGTTCTAAAATATCTATTTTTAGTACAGTACCTTGTTCCAAAATGAAACTATTTCTCCGTCTACCTTCTTCTCTCAACCAATCACAACCATTTTTCTTCATCTACTTTCTTCTTTTTAACCAATCACACACTTTCTCCTTTCAACCAATTACACACTTTCTTCAATCATTATTACATACTTTCTCAATACCCATGCCAACCTCAAAAGTGTTTACATTTTGGGATAGGCAAAGTAGTTGTTCTAGGAGAGAAGCGATAAAATATGGTGTTGTAGAAATAACCAATGTGTCCCGACGTTAATCATTTTAATGCTTATTAAAAATTGTCACAAAGTTAGTACTACGTCAGCCATTTTGACATATCTGCTACAAGTATGGAGAAGAAAATTAATGGGAGCACTCTTGCTAGTGGCTAGCTGTTGGTTGCCCCACGCCTAAACGATCTCTTTTTTAGACAATGACCATATATCTCCAAGCAACAACTAAATTGTGACGAAGGGAATAATTTTTCGTGGCACAAAATTGATATGAGATTTATTTTGGAAAGTATTTGTGACGATTATAATTTGCATCACACAAGCAAATATATTAGTGAAGCAACTATTAATCAAAGCCTTATCCTAACAAAATAAAATGCATCTAATATCTTGAAATTGAGGTAGTTGTAGAAAACAACGAAAAATTTCCTAATTAATATGAAAATTAAATTCTAAAACTGAAAATTGACTGTGGCTTATAATCGAGGGAGGGGTCAAATAGAACCTGAATTAGTTATTAGGATAATGTGGGCAGGAATTATATATTCGCAGTTGTAGCTGTTTTGAAGGCCCGGTGTTCCTCGCGGGGATTTAATTAGGTTATCACGGACGGGACGTACGTAACCACCATAACCGCAGGTCGCTCCCTCCGAAACGGCGCCACCGCACAGAGCAGAAGGGAAGCGAAGGGAAGGAAGGCAATCTCCTGACCACATGGATGTGCGCGCATCGCATTAATATTCCCCACGCACGATTAAATTAATTACACGGGATTCAGTGGCGCGCCGAGTCGATATACGAGACGTAACGTACTCGATCGTGGCTGGGCATGGGCATGGGTCCGGTCGATCGGTCGACGTCCATCCCTAATCCCTTCCGTTTGGGCACCGCACGGCCGGTTGGCGGTTGCATGCGACCATGTTCCGAACCGACGACGCCGATGCGACGCGGCCTCACGATAAGGCGATGGCGTACGTCTTCGCCCGGGGGGGAGGGGGGGGGGTGCCGTTCGGTCGTGGTCGATCAGTAGTACTAGGTCACCTGCAGGCCGTTCCTGCCCCTGCGCTGCGCTGCGCCTGCGGCGGAGAGTAGTACTACTCGCGTGTAGCACGATGGCCAGCCAGCCTCGCGTCGCGCGTGGGCCGCGCCGCGCGCGCGGCCGCAGCAGCGCAGGTTGCGCACTTCCGCCGCAGATGGCTGCGGCTGGCTGCGGGTGGGAAGCCAGCCTGGTCCACGCGTGTGCATGCATGCGTCCATCCTATGATGCGCCCTCCGTCCGCCAATGCGTTGTGGTGGTGGAGTGGTCAGGTCACCAACACCAGGGCCGCGGCCAGGTAAGATGAGATGAGATGAGACGAGATGAGGTGGAGAGAGATGGTCGCATGTGATGTGTGTGTGTACGGGCTGGGTGGAGGACAAATCAGCAGCAGCGGCATAGTAGTAGGAGTAGGTGCGTTTCGCTCGCTGTTTTTGGGAGCAAGTTGCGGGCGGGCGCGGCGCCGTCCGGACGGAGGGGGCTGGACCGCCATATGATAGATCGGTCCATCCATCTGCCTGCCAGGGGATCGCCGTAAATCAGATCACGGTTTTGGTTGGTGCGTACGTGAGTGGTGACACGCTGGCATCCACACGGCGGAGAGATCCGTAATCCCCATCTGCAAACGATCGATAGAATTTTGCATGATTCGTTTAGTACTGGTTGAATTGTTTTGTGCGTGTATAAATATTGTGGTAATTTTTTTATGTGAATTTGGTGCGCTCTAAAGGAGACATGAGGGAGCCAACAAATGATGTGGATATTTTCATCAGGATCTGTTTATTATATTTTTTTATGAAACTGTTTATTATATTTTGAAATGTGTATAGTTTTACAATAATTTAGCCGTTGCACACGCAGAATAGGCACTTTTTGGTGCGAAGTCGGTTAACGTAGCAGCTGCGGCTACCACGTACCACATCGTTTGATATATAGCACAATCTACAGGTAAGTATGCCTGGATGTGGCCTTTAATGGTTTGTCTTTTCCTCTGGATTCGCCGATTAGCCGATCTGTCGGGGCGTTCCTTGTTCTCTTTACCCCTTTCCTTCCTTAGCCGGCGTGTAAAGTGCAATGTATTCCTATATCCACTTCACCTTCCCCTACATTTTTTTTCTCTTTCCTGAGAGGATTAACTTTTTCCTTGTTCAGTTGGTGTGTTTCAATCTGTGTGCACGCTCCCGCTAACAAACATAGTACTAGAAACAACTAAACAAACCGTTAATTAAGTATAAGAGCATATACTTGTCCCGTTTGTCTTGGAGTGCTCCGGTGTGGACTTGCAGGCCGGCTAGCAGCTAGATCGCCCCGAGTGCAGCGTGACAGCAGCAAAAGGATCGAAGCAGTTGCAGCCAGTTGGTGCAATGCAATGCAAGCCAAAAAAGGGGATTACCGCCATCATGGCGGTTAGCTACATATCATCTCTACCCGCGCACACTACCGTTGCTGGATGGATCGGAGTAGTCCTAGTCCTAGCTAGCTGCCGCCGCTGGGAATCCAATGATTTGGTCCCTGGCCCGTCCTCGCTGTCCTGTCCATACGTGCGGCCGAATCAGCTGCCCGCGCCCCGCTCCCGGCACGTTGCGTCGCGTCGCCTTCAGCGTGCGGCGCGGGCGACCTCCGTCGCGACGCACGCTTTTCCCTGGCACACGCGCCGCGCGGGATCGGCATCGCGCTCGGATGCGGCCAGCGTCCAGCGAGCGTGTAGGCCGCGATATGATCGAGTGGTTCGGCAGTGTGGGCCGCCACGGCACGGCGCGCGCATCACGCACGGACGCGCCTCGCCCCAGCGCGCGAAGCACAACGGCTAGCTGCGTGTCGCG